TATAGAGCATTAAGAGATTAACTGACCTGCCGAAGAGCAGAAATCCAATATGTGTTAGCAGTGGAATGTGAGCTTAGGTCACATTGGCTCTCAGTCCAGATCTCTCCACTCTGACATACTGCCTCTCTGTTTCTATCAGTGATAGATCTCAGACATCATGTTAAGGAACTACTAGAGTCTAACAGCTTGTACTCATTACCTCTAGTGGTGGTACAGAAGAAAAGTAGGAAGATACAAACGTGTGTGGACCATAGGATTCCGAACAAAAGAACTAGATTAGACCAGTATACAATGCTATGAATTCAAGATGCTCTGCACTATCTCTTAGGCAGCAGGTGGTTTTCAGCACTGTATTTACAGAATGGTTATTATCAGTCTCCAGTGGCAAAAAAAATGATAAGGAGAAGGTAGCTTTCCTCTGCCCAGCTGGATTTTTACCAGGGTGAACATATGCCTCAAGGTATCTCGAGGATACCTGCTACTTTGCAATGGTTGATGGATAAAGCAGTTGGAGATATGAATTATTTAGATGTGCTGGTATACCTTCGTGACTTTAGCATTGTTGCTGTTTTTAAGAAACCCTAAAAGAACACGAAGAGAGACCGATAAAAGCATTGTATACACTGGAGAAGGTTGATCTAAAACTGTCAACTGACAATGCTCATTCTATAGAACTTCTGTTTAGTATGAGGGTTTATCATCTCAGCAAGCAGTGAACACTGACCTCAAGGTGGGGGAAGAAAGCACTACTTAAATGACCACCTTTGAGATTTAAAAACTTTTCTAGGAGTTGGAGATTACTTATAAATTTATAGAGCATTATCTTTTTATTTCTGAACCACTGATGATCTTACTGATAAATATATGATTGAAGAGAACAGAAATATAAGTTCAGGAAAGGACAATATTCTCTAAACCCTTTGAAGTCAGTTGGAGATCACTCAACATACAAATGTGAATAATCTTTTAAAGATTTGATCAGTTGCATCACATGCCTAACAGTTATGACCTTTGCAGAATCCAAACAAGGCTTCCGTTCCAGTACAGATGCTAACTTGGAAGGTTTAGAATCATTATTATTCCCACAGAGTAATGGTAATCAGAAACCGAATGACTTTTCAAATAGAACATTTAGTAACAGTGAGACTTGCTATATTGTACACATAAACTGGAGTTTATGGCTTTGATGTGAGCCATCACTGAAAAATTTACACTAAGTTCACGTGCATTTACACTATATACATTCAGATGCATAGGTTGACAATAATCCACTTACATAAGTTGACTTAAGGGATAAAAAGATCGCAATTACTCACAATTGATACATTTTGCAGCTGAGAGTGAGGCTGAAGAAAGCTCATCATTTAGCTGTAACTCAAGCTTAGAAAAATTTTTGCTTTTTATTTCTCTTCACATGTGGCCCTCTAGATCCTCAAGTGGGACCCTTTGACTGAAGCCCAAACTTCACAGAACAAGTTCTAGACTGTCCACTTATGGGAATTTGCATTCCCAATCATTTCACTCTGCATCAGTTCATACATATTCCTAGGTTTCTCATTTCTTAGAGTGCAATAAAATTTCATTAAATGAACATGTAATAATTTGTTGTCATTCCATAATTGTCAAGCACCCACTTTGTTTCCAGTTCTTTGATACAACAAAGTGCTGCTCAAATATTTTTTGTGCATATGAGTCCTTTCCCTCCTTTTAAAAATTTATTAATCTTTTTGAGTTATAATACTATTAATGGAGTCACTATTAATGGGTCAAAAAGTATGCACGGTTTAGAGAGTTTTGGGATATGGTTCCAAGTTGCTTTCCAAAACAGGTAACAGCTCCAACAGTGCATTAGTGTGCCTGTTTTCCCATAGCCCCTCCAATAATTGTCAATTTCCATTTTTGATATCTTTGCTTATCTGAAGATGAGATAGAACCTCAGAGTTGTTTTAATTTGCATTTCTTATTACTAGTCATTTGGAACATTTTTTATATGGCTATTGATGGCTTCCTTTCTTCTTTTGAGAATTGCCTCTTTGTACCCTTTTAGCATTTATTTGGGGGAAATGGCTCCTTATATACTGGTATCAAGTTCCTAAACATCTTGGACACTAGACCTTTATCAGAGAACTTTCCTACAGAGTTTTCTCAATTAACTATTTCCCTTTTAATTCTAAATTCATTGCTTTTGTTTGTGCAAAAGCTTTTCAATTTCATGTAATCAAAATTTTCCATTGTTTAGTGAAGAACTCTTCCTCGGTTCATAGTTGTGAATAGGCATCTATTCCTACTCCTCCAACATGAACTCTTACATTTAGGTCATGTATCTGAAATGATTGATCTGTATCATTTTTTTAATTGATCCTATTTATAGTTAATTGATTTTGTCCTATAACTGCCTAAGTCATGGTTTTTTGTCTTTGAATTTAGTTCAGAATTTCAGCTGGCCTGTAATAGGTTAAGTTTAGAAACCCATTTCTCTAGCTAATCACTGCTTTATTCTTGCCTCGAGGAATTCTACTAATCTGAGGGATGTGGGTAGACATTAGGGAATCTGATCCAATATATATATATACACCACTAGGTTATCTTAACTTCAAGGTTGTCTGGTTTGCTATCCAAAGAAGTCTGGGCTACTATCTTGCAGGTCGTCTAAAACAATAAACACTTCTTAGTCACAGGAGGCAAGGAGTGGGTCATTGCTAGCCCTTCCTTACCAAATTTCTAACCATGCTCTTCCCCACACCTCAGTTATATAATCAATCATGTTATCCTCAACCCCATGTCACCTACCCTATTCTGTTCTTTACTCCCCAAAACTTATAAAACTGTCCCCTTCATTTGGGGGTCTTATCTTTGCTGAGGAAGCTGAGATCCTATCTGTTCGTAAATTCATGTATGCTTTACTAATAAATTGATCATGCTCAGAAATTTGCGCCTCAGTTTACCTTATTTTTAACTGTTACATATCCATTTGGCCACCTCTAGTTATCCTGATCTATGTCTTGCCATAGGACCCAGTTGACTCCCGAGGAGAAAGTGAGGCTGGTGTCCTTGCACAGCCTTCTCTCATTTAAATCCAATTCACTTGCAAGTGATGGCATCATTTTCCTGACGTCATGATCCTCTTCAAGAAAGAAGGACAAACAACAACAATATCCATTTGGAGCTTATTGTATTGTGCTGTGTAAGCTGTTGGTCTAAACCTAATTTCTGCCATTGTTTTCCAGTTTTTCCAGGTGTTTTTGTCAAATAGTAAGTCTTTATTCCAGCAGTTAGGATTCTTGAATTTATCTGGATTACTTCTGGATCTTGTGTGCCTAATCTGTTCTAATAACTTTTTTGTTTTTTTAACCACTGCCAAATAGTTTTGATAATTACTGCTTGGCAGTACAGTAGGCGATCTGGTACCAGTAGGCCCCCCGTTTACATGATCTCCCTTAATATATTTTTGGAGAAGAAAACAGCAAACCACTCCAGTATCTTTGACAAGAAAACCCCACGGCCAGTATTGTCCACAGGGTCATGAAGAGTCAGATATGACTGAACAACAACCCTTCATAGTTTACAGAATGCATTTGGAGGAAAGGAATCAAACCTCTAGGCTGTGAGTTCCAGGGAAATCTCTCTAGGAAAGAAATAACCTGAGAGGTCAAAGAAATAGATCAGGTTGTGTAAATAGAGACAGACCCTCAGGCAGGCACCAATTAGATAAGTGTTACTGATTTCTCTCTTGAAGGCCTCCACTATATTAGTTAGATATTAAGATAAGACTAATCTCTTAGAAATGCATTATCCTACTGGAATAAACCTGATCTTTGGCAACTCTTGAGACCTCTAGGTTATGATAAAATATGATAAACATTTATTAAGCACCTGCTATGTGCCGGGAACTGTGCTAAATGCCAGGGATATAAATGAAAGAAAGTCCCTGCTCTCATGGAGTCAATCTAATGGAGTAAGATAACACACAAAAGGACACTGAGAAGGGGGGGGGGATGGAGGAGTGTCAGAGGCCACCCAGGACAGGGGCATTATGAAGATGATGATGGAGTAAAAACCAGAACACCTGGTGGCAAATGGAAAGATGGCTGGCATTTTGAGCCCCTTGGAGGCTGTGAGAAAAAATTTTTTTTGTTCCCCCTCCAAGCCTCCAGAGAGGCAGAGGCAGTTGAGGTATTACTAGTGAGATGTGAATAGCAGAGCTAGAGCAATCTCCACGTGGATGTTTCCTGGTGACTTTATCCTAGGGGAGGGAGAGTGACATGATAAAGATGACAGTGGAATTGAAATCTCCCAGAGCATCTGGTGACACATTAAGGAGATGAATATATTCTAACCTCAAGTGTTAACAATGTCTCCCCCAATCATTTGGCATCTTGTCCTTAATACTTAACCTCCCAAGTAAGAAAAGTGACTGAGTAACCTCTCTTCTTAGCTCCCTTCAGCCCTCCAGGTCTGCCCTAAGGCTGTGTAAAACCAAATACACCTTTGTTCTAGGCAACTGCTCATTAGGTGATGCTAATTTAACTCTTTATCTTGTAGCCAGCTAACTGACTCATTGACCTCCTGCCTAACAAACCAAGGTGACAACAATTCCTCTCACTGAGCATCTTAAAGACCTCTGGGTTGAAAATTTCCCCAACAGCAAATATATGCAGACCATAGCCTAGACCAGGGGTGGGAAACCTGCAGTCTTGAGGCCACATGTGGCCCTCTAGGTCCTCAAGTGCGGCCCTTTGACTGAATCCAAACCTCACAGAATCCCCTTCATAAAAGGATTTATTCTGTAAAACTTGGACTCAGTCACAAGGCTGCTCCTGAGGACCCAGAAGGCCAAATGTGGCCTCGAGGCCGAAGGTTCCCCAGCCCTGGCCTAGACCTTTTCCTTCTGAACCTCGTGAGAGGGGTGTGGGGTGTAGGTAGTTTTTGTGGGGAGGCACCGTGGCTGGCTTTAACTGGCATTGAAATCCCCTTGTGCGCACACATCAGGTTTATATAGGAATTCCTAGAAGGCCCAGAAAGCACATGTGCTAATTTAATTTTCAACCACAAGAAAGGGTCCTGCCAAAGCCTTCCGTCTGCCCCTGAGAAGCCTGTGGGGGGGGAAGGGAGAGACACGGGCAGTGACGGGGAGAGGAAAAGGGGGGACCCCTGGGATAGCAGGTGGTTCTACACATCCCAGCGCCGAGGTGGGGCGGGGAGGAGAGGAGACATCTCCGTGTCACGTGACTTCCTCCGAACCCGGTCAGGAAGCTGGGCCTGCCCTCCCGGCGTCACGTGCCCCTCCTGGTTGGGGGCAGGGTGAGGCTGGCGGTCCCGGTGGCTCGTTTCTGCGCTCTGCGCCTGCGCGCCGCTTCGCCTGCTGCTCCCTCACCTTGGTGGCGGCTTGCCTGATTCCCCTCCTGCGGGGGGAGCCTAGGCCCCGAAGTCCGCTGCGATGGGGGTCAGTCACCCGGTGAGTCCCAGGACCTGGCTAGGTGCCTGCTGGAGGGGACGGTCTGTCACAGCCTGGGGGTGGGGTGGGTAGAAGGTGGGGACTGCCGGCTACCGACCCTTCCGCATGCCCCGCCCGCCGCGTAGCAAACCCCGGGGTGTGGGGTGAAGGGCCTCTGCCCTCCGCCCCCCTTTCTCCCCTTTGGCTGCTGGGCGGGGCTCGGAGGGCGGGGCCGAAGGCAGCGGGAAGTCCCCGGCGAACTGCTGCGCTGTGCTGGGGGCGCGGGCCCGAACCCCCAGCCGCGGCGCGGCAGGGTCGTGGCGGGAAGGCCGCGGGCCGCCCCGAGTGGGAGTGGGTGCGTGTGCGCGTCTGTACATCTGTTCTCGCTCCTGGAGGCCGCGCGCCGTGCCGGCGGCCGTGGGCGGCGGCTCCTCGGAGCAGAGATGCGGATTGGGCTGCGGGACCGCGGGGGGCTGCAAGCCGGTCTTGTGCGAGTGCGGGGCGCCCTGACCGCCGGCGTCACCCCGCCTCCTGCCGCTCTCGCCGTTACCACCACCATCATCATCATCATCATCATCAATCATCATCATCCCTGTTACTGCCCAGGCTCCTCACGCTGCGGGCTAGGAGACGAGCATCGCCCCGAAGCCAAGTGCCTGGAGCAGGGTCGCAATAACGAAGTCCCCTTTCTTCCTTAGGGTAACCAGCTGTCTCTTGGGGTGTGTGTGTGTGTGTGTGTGTGTGTGTGTGTGTGTGTGTGTTAGAGTGGGGTGGTGGTGGATGTAATCCTAATTGAGAAGAATTTCGATTGTTCCCATTTGGTGGGACATCTCTCCCCTGTAAGAATCCTAGAAAAATTATGTGTCAGATCTTCTTCTCTAACACACAGCTGTAGTGTCTTGTGACTCTGGACAAGTCCCTTAATGCCTGAGTGCCCCAGGCAACTCTCCAAGCCCGGAGAATCTCAAGCTGTAAATTGCTGAGAAGGCATCCTTCAGCATTGGTAGAGTTCGTCATTGGAGTTCTCCTATACCAGTGAAATCAGGGGTCTAGTCCCAGTGTCTTAACTAGAAAAACCAGTAGATTCCAGAAAGATTCCAGTGATTAGTTTTTAGCAAATTTTTGTGGTATCCAAAAAGGATTGTAGTGTCCTTGTGAGTTAGTTTTCCCTCACGTTGTAGCTCTCTTACCTTACTCTAGTTAACATATTTGTTGGGAGCTGACCAAAATGAATAAGAAAATGATAGGATTATAGATTTTCTAGGAAGAGCTTGAGATCACGTCCTTCATTTCTTATTTTGAATATGGAAAATGGACTCCTTCTGGAACCTTAGAAGTCATCTAGTCTAATTGATGCTTAGTGGCACATATAGATTAAATGATTTGCCCAAGATCACAAAGGTAGTAAGTGGTTGGGGTAGGCTTTTGAACTCAGTTCCTCTCCAAGGCTCCATGGCTAGTTAGTATCAGAACTAGAATTTACATCTGCTGACCATTTCTAGTGCACTACACTGAGGAATTGGACAAGTTGGTATTTTCCTGAATGCCATCTTGAACAAAAGATGTATTTTGAAGTCACTGTGATTAACTTCCTCACCCCTTTGAAAACTCAGGAAAATTGTTTACATACATGGTTTCCTCCGGACTTTTCTTCTGATACAGCCACTTGAACCTTCCTCTCTAGGAATATACCTATTTACCTGTTATCTCTCCTATTAGCATGTAAGTTCCTTGAGGGCAGGAGCTGTTTGTCCTCCTTTGTACTTCCCTCATTTAGAGTAGATGACAGGAAGGACACTAGTCAGTAAACATTAAGAGTCGGATATGTTCCACATGTGGCCTTCTGGGTCCTTGGGCCTTTTGACTGAGTCCAAGTTTTACAGAACAAATACTTTTATGAAGTATTTCCCCACCCCTGTTCTAGGCACTGTGCTAAGTGTTGGGCATACAAAAAGAGGCAAAAGACAGCCCCTCTCCTCAAGGAACTCTCAGTCTAACAGGGGAGAGAACAAGCAAACATATATATGCAAATTAAGCTATCTATGGGAAATAAGAGAGGGAAGGCACTAGCATTAAATAGAAAATGAGATTTTAATTGGGACTTGAAGCCAGGGAAGGCAGTGGGTGGAGGTGAAGAGGAAGAGCATTCCAGTCATGGAGGACAGCTAGAGAAAATGCCCTGAATAGAGAGATGGAGTGCCCCGTTTGTGCAGCAAGGAGGCTGGTGTCGCTGGATTGAAGAGTATGTGTTGGAGAGCAGTGTGTAAGAGGACTGGAAAGGTAGGAGGAGACTAGGTTATGAAGGGCTTTAAATGCCAAGAGTGTTTTGTATTTGATCCTGGAGGTAATTGGGAGCCACTGGAGTTTATTGAATAGGGGGTGACATGATTGGACCTTCTATTTAGGAAAATCACTTAGGTAGCTGAATGAAGAATGGATTGGAATGGGGAGAGACTTCAGGCAGACAGACTCATCATTAGGCTATTACAGTAGTACAGATGTGAGGTGATGAGGGCCTGCACTAGAATGGTGGCAGTGTCTGGAGAAAAAGGGACTACAGGCATTTGAGAGATGCGTTACAAAGGTGAAATCAGCAGTCGTTGGCAATACCTTGGATATGGTGGAGGAGTAGGGGTGGGGTTGAGACATAGTGAGGAATTGAGGATGATTCCTAGATTGTGAGCCTGAAGGACTGGGAGGATGGTATTGTCCTTGACAGAAATAGGAAAGTTGGAGGGAAGGGGAAGGCTTGGGGAACGAGAATGAGTTCATTTTTGAACCTGTTGAGTTTAAAATGTCTACTGGATGTTCATTTCAAGATGTCTGAAAGGCAGTTGGAGATGGCAAGATTAGAGGTCAGCAGAGGGTTTGGGACTGGATAGGTAGATTTGATAATCATCTGTACAGAGATGATAATTAAATCCATGGGAACTGATGACATCGCCAAATGAAATAGTATAGAGGTAGTGATGAGTTCAGGGTTTACCCCAAGAATGTTGGGGTACCACCTGAAATGTTGAGAAATAGACGTGTGGGTCCTGTTGTCCTGAAAGAATTCACCTGTACAGTCTCCAAGTTAAAGAAAGGCTGCTCCTCAGCAGGCTCTACTCCTAGAGGGGGAGGCAGAGCAGAGGCAGCAGAGGACACAGAGTAGCCCCTGCTTTCCGTGGGAGGCAAAGGTGGTTGTTGGGGTTGGGTGCCAAGTTTACAATTTTATGGAATAGGGGGAAAGGGGACTAGAGAATGGGAGGAGCAAGCATGGCTCCGAAATGCCTGGGATGTCAAGTAGTCCTGAGGTTCCTTTATCATACGGATAAGCAAAGAGAATAGGAAAGAGTAGGAGAAGAATTGTTCTGGAATATAGGGTGCTTTGTGAAGCACAAAAGTAAGTCAGTCCCCGGCGGGGGGCTTCAATGCATAGTCGTCTTTAATCACTTTTCTGGCTGGTCACATCCTGCATCTTATCCCCTGTCTCCAGTCCTACATCCTGCTTGCTCCATCTGCCTTGAGCACTCCTTTCTACATCATCAGTAGTAGAGAAGAAGGTCCTAGACAGAACCCTATGGGACACCTATAATTAGAGCAAGTTATCTGGATGAGGATTCAGGAAAGAAGAGTGAGGAGGGATCAGATAAGAGGAAAATCAGGAGAGAGTGGTGCTTCACACTCCTAGAGAAGAGCAGAGGGTGATCAACGATGACAGAAGCTGTGGAGAGGATTGAGAAAGGGCCATTGGATTTGGCAGCTAAGAGATCATTGGTAACTTTGAAGAAAGCATTTTCAAGTGGAATTCGTGAGGTTGGAAGATTGTAAGGGATTAAAAAGAGAGAAGAGAAAGTTAATAATTTCTTGTTGCTTGATTGCCTTAAATGATTCATGGCCTAATGAATTATTCAGTATTTGGTTTGTTAACTATTTTTTTCTAGGTTACCCCAAAAATTTTAGGACCCTTTTGGTTGTTGAAAAGTTGATTTTATAGTATCATAAGCTTAGAGCATCTGGTGCCCCTTTTTAATTTTATTGAGGAGATTGATTTCATCTACTTATGTTCATAGACTGTGAATGTTATACCTAGTTGAGTCATAAAAATGTAAATTTGTTAGAAATAAGAAAGTAAGGAAGGAAATAAGCATTTATTAAGCATCTACTATGTGGCAGGTCCTGTAATAAGTGCTTTACAAATATCCTATTTGATCCTCACAACAGCTGGGAGGTAGATATCCCCATTTTACAGTTAAGGTTACTTGACTTGCCCAGAGTCACAATAGTCTGAGGTCTTCCTGACTCCAGATACAGCCACTGTGCTCCCTAACTGCTTCTAGGCAAATACCACCACGATATTGTATATACCTTTGGAATATGTTTTTAATTTGGAAGATTCATTATCCATGCTGCATGTTTTAAAGAGAATTTCATGAACCTGGGGATAATGACCATGTTGATAATTAATCAGAACACAGAATCTTGAGCAGTTCACATCCAGTACTGTACATCCTGTTCCTAATGTCTTTACCAGATCAAACTTGATAGGAAATTTTAAATCTATGTAGGCTGTGTGAGGGTTTCACAGAATTCTAATTCTCTGGCTCAAGTCTTTTTTTTTTTTTTGCAGTCTGAGGAACTGTGTACAAAGCTATTTATATTTGTATATAAATATATGCCAGATTCTGTCTTTGTTCTAAAATGTTAGCCATTCCACAAACATTGAGCTCCTTCCTGTGCAATGTACTGATTAGGGAATAAATTCATCAAGAGGGTTTTCATTTTTGGACCTCATCCAGTGTTACCTTTTCATCGGATTAATTTTTTTTTTAAAACCTGGACTGAATAAAGCCCCTTTCTCAGGTTTTGGATTTCTTTTTAAATTTATTTTCCATATCTGTGGTGAGAAGCAGTATAGAATAAAGTACAGAACCTGCTTCCTTTTCGTGATGTCTTGGGTTCAAACCTCTCCTCTTACATGTGCTATGTATGCAACTTTGGACAAATTTTCTCTTTTAAAAAATTATTGTTAATGTCTTTTGTTTTCATATAGCCTAAATTTCCTCCTGTATCCTTGTTACTTCTCCACCTCTGCCACCACCATCACTTCTCCCCTCCCCACACCTCCATAAGGAGCCATGGCATATAACAAAGATTTTTTTAAATAACAAGAAAAAGCAGCAAAACCAATCAGTTTATTGGAAAAAAATACCTTTGGTCTCCCCATCTTTGGAAAATAGTGGAGAAAAGTATCTTTTCACATTTCATTTTTTAAGGCCTAGCTTGTTCTTTGTAATTTTGCAACATTCATCTTAGATTGTTATATTATGGTGGCTGTTATTTCTGTTTACATTATTATAATTATTATGTATATTGTTTTCCTGATCCTGCTTACTTCACTTTGCATAAATTCACATAAGTCTTTCCATGCTTTTCTATTAATTATATTCATTGTTGTTTCTTACAATACAGTAATATTCCATTACATTTATGTACCACAGTTTGTTTAGTCATTCCCCAGTTGATAGGCATCTAATGTACTTTGTTTCTAGTTCTGTTACCACAAAGTGCTGCTGTAAATATTTGTTTTATATGTGGGGGTATATGCCTAGCGATGGAATCTCTGGGCCAAAAGGTATTTTAGGCACTTGATTCACATGATTCCA